ACAGGAAACTAATCTAACATTAAATAATAATTGTGAACATTTTGAAACATTACTTAAAGATAAACAAAATGAATTTAATCAGTTAACTGTATTAAATGACGAAATAAAAACGAAAAATTCAACGATTATTGATGAATATAAACAAGTGCAAGAACAACTAAAAGAAAGTCAAAATGAAATATTTGACCTGAAACAAACAATTGATAATATCAATACAAAAAATTCAAAAATCACTGACAGACTTGAACAAGTTAACAAACAACTTGAAGAAAAACAAAACGAAATTGTTCAACTTACTATTACTATAGATCAATTAAAAGAAACTAATGGAATAATCAATGAGAAACATAAACATATCGAAAAAGAACTTGAAAAACGACAAAATGAAGTCATTCAACTTACAGCTATTATAGATGAAATAAAAACAACAAATACAACAATGGCGAAGCAATGTAACGAATTTAAAGAAACTATTGAAACGCTCAAAGAATCACAAATTCTTGATCAACAATTATTGGAACAGACAAACAAAGAAGTATGAATGTTTTCCAGGAAAGAAATCATTCCTTTTTTAAGAAAAAGATAACTTAGATAAAAATAAGAATGTTTTCATTTCGGTAAAGATCAAAATTCCTCAATTGAGTTATTCTTAGAGTCAATTAAAAGAAATATGAGCAATAACAGACAAGACTAGAAAATGAAAAAAAAATGATCATTTAATAGTATAATTTATTTTATTTTTCTCATTCTTCTAGGAGTTCAACAAATCTAGAACAGATTTGCGATTTTTGATAAAGGGCTTTAGGATTTGGGTCATTTGAGATCAAATCCAACCTAAACCTGATAATATAAAACCTAGATGCTTTGGATTTGTTGCACTTCTACATTCTTCATTTAATGTAATTGATCATAATAGTAGTTATTCCTCACATACTAATATAATTTATTAATGAAATTCCTTCTTGTTTTCCTTTTGGTACAGATCGAAACACTCAAACAAAATCTTTCCAATGAACAATCAAATTCCAATGCTTTAAAACATGCACAACAATCTTATATCGAACGATTAACCACTGAACATGAACAAATAATTGAAAATCTAAAATCTGAATATCTTTCGATGACTCAAGAAAAAAGTGAAGAAATTGATAATGTTCATCAACAATTATTATTTCAACGTTCTGAAATTGATTCTTATCAAGATACAATCGACAATTTACGAAAAGAACTTCATGAATATGAAAAAAAATTTCTACAACAAAATTCTCAACTTGATCATTTACTTGATGAACAAAAACAACAATCACAAATAATAATACGTTTAAAAAATATACTTGGTGTTGATACAACTAATCATGATGAACTTCTTGAACAATTTGTACATAAAATGGAACAATATCAATTATTAATAACTGAATCCGAACGTTTAAATAATGATTTAAATAAACAAAAATCTGAACAAATAAATATTCATCATGAATTACTACAATTAGAACAACAATATGATGATATGAAAGATGAATTAAATAAAACAAAACAAGAATTAATAACAAATAAAAATAAATATGAAAATCAATTAAATGAATTAAATCAATCGTATAAACAATTAGAAAAAGATAAACATTCAATTGATATTCAATTTGAAAATATTCAATGTCAATTTATTGATAAAACTAAACAATATGAACAAATTGAAACAAAATTTAATAAATCATTAAATGAAAAAGATGAACAAATATCTATATGTGAAGAAAATATTAATCAACAAGAAATTCTTAATGATAAACTTCATCGAGAATTAAATGATTTACATGATGAATTAAAAACTAAAACAGATGAAATTATTTCATTACAAGCAAATCTTGATAAAATTCAACAAACATTACAATCAAAAATAAATGATATCGAACAACTTTCGCAAGAAAAAATTTCTTTAGCAGAAAATAATAATCAAAAAGAAAAACTTTTATTTCAACAAAAACAATTAACTGAAGTACATACAGCATTAGAAGAAAAATTTAATAATCTTTTATCGGAAAAAGCTGGATTAGAAAATCAATTAGATTCAATTCGATTACAAATGCAAACAACAGAAACAAATATGAATAAAAGAAAACAAGAAAATATGAATAAACTTGAACAAGCTGAAAAAAAAATTAAAGAACTTCTGGTAAGGTTACAAAATCTCGAAATAGAAGACCTTCTCTAGAACGATCAATAAAAACGACGTATTAGAAATGTGAAGACATTTATTCAGTTTTTCGAGAACAGCTTTCATAGATGCTATACAATTAGTCTTCATCAGTCGTCGTCTACGTATCAAGAATGTTTTTCCAAATATCAAATAGTCATGATAAAGCAAAATCATTTCAAATTATTATTATTTTTTGTCGGCATCTGACGAAGAAACTATTCCAAATGACATCTGCCATTTGGGATCATATTGAATCCACGGACAGATCTCAGTGACACTAACACAAGCCTAAAATAGTTCCCTCCCATGAGCCTTTGTCACTGAGTTATGATCGGTTTAGTGAGTAGTTCCCTCATAAGATCATGGTCACTATGTACTTTTTAACTGCCACTTAGTTTGCAAATAGGTGGTTGTTTTAGCGAATTTCTATGATATTTAAAAAAATAGCTTTCAAGCAGGAGGCATTTGCCAAAATACATTTTGTAACTATGATCGGCCATTGTTATAAAAAGAAACAAAGATTTTTCCATTAAAATGTAATTATATAGCCACAGAACTTTTTTCCAATCGAAACATCTACAATCAAATATTTTTATTAATGATTTACTTCTAGAATTAAATTAAAATATGTTTTCCATTTCCATTAGATGATAACTAATATTCAACGTTAACTCGAATAAAAATTAAAATCACTACAAAATGTTACTTAAAAACGTCTGTAAACAATCGAGATGGATAGGGAACATGCAGGTTTGGAACCTTCAGCACTTCGTAATAAAATATATTGATCAGACACGGCGTTTATCTTTTTGATTGAGATTGTGATTAATTGTTCAATGTATGTCTCACTAAAACTAATTCATTCACAGTTATATAAACACATAAATAGACATTAAGTTGATCTGATTCTAAACCGGAAAAAATTTGGCGTACTGAACCGGGATCGAAAACTTTCGAACTCGAAAGATTTCGATCATCATATACACACAAGACGAGGTGATAAATGATTTTATCTCCTACAAGAAGTACAAGACTTCATCTGATTAGCCATGTAAAATTATCTTTAGTAACGTTGATTTTTTTTTCACACACATATTATAAATTGAATACTTTTTCTTTTGAACTGGACAAGTCTAATTTAACTAACTTTGAAAATATAATTGAAATTAATTATTTGATTTAGACTGAAGGTGATTCACATCAATCAGAAATCGAAATATTACGTAATCAAATTGTTTCATTAAGAAATGCTAATGAAGAAAATGTTCGTCGTATTACTGAATTAGATTCTCAAAAATTAGTTTTTGAACAAGAAAATACTGAAAAAGACCAACAATTAATCGAACGTGATGAAAAAATTCAAGAACTTCAATTAACTCTTAAACAAACTCAAGAAAGTGGAACAAAATTACGTAAAGCATTACATAAAATGAAAGAATCTATGACTAATAATGAACAAACACGTAATCAAGAATCAGGTAAATTTTTAATCATTAATATTTATTTTTCATAACAAACAAAAATAATTCTTTTTGTTAGAAGCTCGTTTACGTATAGTTACTGAAGAATATGAACAGAAACTAAAAGAACAAGAAGCAGAATATAGTGCAAATTTAAAATCTATTACTAAAGAAATGAATTCACAAATGGAAGAAAAAGAAGAACAATTCAGTCAACAATTTCAAGAATTAATTAGTAAAATTTAAAAAAAAAAAATTTTTTCCAATTTATTAATCAAATTATATATTTTATAATTAGATAAAAGTTATCAAAATGAAAATACTTTAAAACAAAAAATTATCGAAACTGAACAACGAGCATCAATCGCTGAAGAACAATTAAAAGTTTGTTTGTTTGTTAAGATTACTCTTCAAATGAATAACGAAATATAATCTTCTAGGAAAAACAAACAGATCCTAATCTTATTCAAGAACTTGAAAATCAAATAAATAATCTTCAAACACAACTGGAAAGTTTTAACAATAGACAAAACATTCCTATTCAGTAAGTCAAAACCTATAGAATAGACATTTCTAGAGATGCGCACAACCAAAAACACTTAATTCTGCTCATCCCTAGACATGTTTATAGCAGTGCGACAGATATTGTACTACCAGTAATATTGTGCTAGCACAGTTGCGATGTATTTTTCTACTATAAAATCAAAAACATTATTTTTTTTCTCCTTAGAACAAGTGATCATGCTATTCAAACAAATACCGAAGGTAAACAAAAAAAAACAAATGCTTATGAATACTTATTTGATATTTAGATTCCAAATTAAATTCATCTCGAACAAATGCAAATGATACTTTACATTCACATATAGTCGAATCAACTGAACTTGATTATTTAAAACGAACTATTTTAGCTTATATGACAGGCACTGATCGAATGGTATGTTGTACATAATAAATAGATTAATGGAATAATGTCTTTCTTTTAGACTATGATCAAAGTCATTTGTGCACTTCTCCGTTATAGTGATGATGAAAAATCATTAATTATTGATCATGAAAAACATCGTCCGAATGTAAGTAAAAGAAAAAAACGGATTCGAATATTTCATAGAATTTGATTTTTTTTTATTTAGAGTTGGCTAAATTCATCAAGATAATATTAAGCAATGTTATTGTATTAGAATTTTTATTTTTATTTTTATTTCTCAAGCATATCAATAGTGAATCTCTTTTATCCAAAAACGGCAATATTTAATCTTCAGTTTTTTTTTCCTGCGCTACTGTATTTGAATTTTCAAAGTTATTATTTTTACTTTGTTTTTTTGTTTATGATGATAGTCGTTCTTTTATTAAATTATTTTTTCTGTATATTTATGTGCATGAAGTATTTCAAATGCATATAAGAAAGAACACAACAATATAAATTATTTGAGAGAGACTGAACTGAATAGAATACTTAAATTGTTGAAAAGAAGAAAAAATCCGTTTAGTGTAAGAAGATTGGAAGCTGTTTTATGTGTCCAATATTTTGACTTTTCTTCTTGGACAAATTTTAAAGGCATTAGAATACTAATGTTTATGTTGGATATCAGATGTGTTTGTTAGTAAGCTCAAAGACAATAATGCTCTGTTTCTTTATATTCAGTCGATTCATGAATGAAAGTTCGTTGCAAAGCTATAAATAGTCTAAATTGCTGATTGATTATATATTATTGCTATTAAATATGCGCTTACCTTTCGGTATTGGGTGAAAAAGAAATAATTACAAGAAAAGCATAAAAACTCTTTAAAAAACGTTCTCTCGGTGAACTTCTTGTTTGATTACAATAAAGTTCCAGAGTCAGAGACTCAGCTTATGTAACAAGTGTATGTGCTATGCTTGAATGTCATTTTGCTTCTTCGCTTAGCGGAAACAAGACTTCACATTTCTCTCACTAAAGAGCATCGTTTTAAATACATTGATGCAGAAGCATCTTTCATCATACTAAAACAGCAGTGGAAGGAAGAGTACTTCTGTCTTTCGATTAACTGGGATGGTCGATCTTATACAAAGTTCTTGAGTTCAATTGCTTGAGCTTTCCATACACACTAACTAACCACAAGAGCAGGTGTATGTCACAACATAGCCACTCAGTCGTGCCGGCACCAAATAGCAGTGAGATTCTATGGATGCCCAAGGACATCGCTCGCAAGTAGTAATCACTGATTTATTACTCATTACCTATAGCCCAGATAATAGCTAGTCTTTTTTATGAACTCCATGCTTAAGAACTTGATTTAACCAAATGTTAAGCAACTATTTTGTGACTCTAGCTAAAAATTTGAATAAAACCCTGACTCTTTTTTTTTTATCTTTCTTTCCAACTACAGATTTCTTATGTAATGTGAGAATAAAACACAAATTCTTATTTTATATTAATCCAGCACTGATCGAATTTTCTATTGTTAACAGTAGCCAATCAATTTTCATATGAAATTTTCAATCTACTATCTTCTAACTATGCAAAGTAATCAATCTCTGTCTCTTAAATAAAAAAAAAAAACATGAATTTGTATTAAACAAATATCGGAGTACATTAAATTTTATCAACGATAATAATTATATATGTTAGTAAATGGAACAAAGCAAAAGAAACAAAAAAAGAAACAAACAAAAAACTCGGAAGAAATATCTTATAGAAATTGAAAAATATAAATTTTCAATTCAAACTATTTGGAGTTGATGATGATGATGATGATTGACGATGTTCATTATTAATCATACGATTCGTATTTGTTGTTGTTGTTGTTGTTGTTGTTGATGATGCTTCTTGTTTTTCTCGTTTTATATTAAGTGATATAGCTTTATCTTCATTTTTACTTATGTCATTTAAACTTTGTAATTTATTATCTTTTTTCCATTTCATTCGACTAGAAAAAATAGATATAAAAATTAAATTTATTAAAAAACAAAAGAATTTCTTTTATACCGATTTTGAAACCAAATCTAAAAAACAAAATATTTATCTTTTTAAAAGAAAACTATTTATTAGATTGATTTTTTTTTTACTTTAATTTGTCGTTCAGTCAATACAAGACTATGTGCAATTTCAATTCGTCTTCTTCGTGATAAATATCTACGTTAAAATATAACAGAAAAAAAAAAAGTATTAATATAAATCTTTTTTTTGTCATGTAGATCAAATTCAAACCTATTAAAATGAAATTCTTTTTCTAATTCAAGTGTTTGATATCTTGAATATGATGTCCGTGTTCGTTTCGTTTCACCAATATGTGGATCTAAAATCGCGTGATAAAAATTCATAGATCATTATTTTTATTTTTGCTTTTTGTTTGCATATCATCAGATAAAAAACACAAAAATGAAATTCGAGCGAAAAGAAAAGACATTAATCTCACACGCACTTGACATTGCGCATAGTTTTCTCTCAACATAGGACTTCCTGAATATATATACACCGACATGTTTGATGCCTTTTTTTTTTCTTCTTTTCACCATTGTTCTACATAGTCTCATCGATTACATGACCATTAGAACCATCTGTTGAGTCTTTGACAATGAGTCGGCATCATCTTGTATACGTGTGTTTCCTTTTCTCGTATCTTTTGTCCCAATCAGATTGAAAGGCAAACGTCATATCTATGTATATACAAACTCATTTATTCATTCGTCCCGACCAGAACGAGCCCATAAATCTCCTCTAGCGCGCAAGAGAACGACATAAATAGCCCATAAAAAAGATTGTGTGTATATGGTAAAAATGTCGATGTTAGAATATATAAACAAAAAAAAAAGAAACGAATAGAATTTCACATCTCTCCCTCCCCCCCCCTCCCTTCTCTTCTTTGCTTTCAGTTCGAAATTTAAACAAGACATTAAACTTACCACAACTATTATGAATACGTCTCATCCATGGATAAATATTTTGTTGTTGAGTTCCTGGATGATGATGATGATTGTGTTGTTGTTGCTGTTGTTGTTGTTGTTGTTGTTGTTGTTCGATTGAAATTGGAAATGTATCCGTTGGTTTTAATATTTGTTGTTGAGGATGTGTATATGACATATAAGAATTCATAAATGAATGAGGATGAGGATGATGTTGTTGTAAATTATTTGATGTTAATGTTGATGTAAAACCATGATTTGGTACAGCTGTATCCGAAGCAAGACCTGTTGTTAGTGTTGTTGGTGTTATATTTGTATATGGATACTCAAATGCATTAACAAATGATCCTGATGACATATTTGTATAATAATTACTCGTAAGATTTGAATCATTTTGTCTATAATTTAAAAAATGTCGTACAAGTGGATCATGATTAAAATGTGAAGAAGGTGATGTTGATGTAACAACATCAAAGGGATTTGTTTGTTGATTTGATGATAAACATAATGGAAAATCAGCATTATTTAAATATGATGTATTTGTATCAAATGAATTATTAATATTAACATTATTAATCGATGTTATTTGTGCTGTATTTTCATCAGATGATGTACTGTTACTACTATTATGATTATTATTATTATTATTATTGCTGCTATTTGATGTTGAAAATAAATGATGATAGCCTAATGATGACGGTGTTGACAATGCATTAGAGGCAGCAGCAATAGCAGCAGAAGTGCTTGAGAAGGTAGCCATTTGTCCGGTAATGGAGTACACACGCGGAACTTTAACGACGTTAATAGCGGCGATAATCGGTCTTGACGAACATCGTTTTGTGAGTTTAATGGGAGCACATAGAAGAAAGAGTAAATGGTAATTGAGAAGGAATTAGATAGACCAGATGAGATGATTGAAAGTCAGTCAATTGAATAGTCGATGAGATTCTTTTTGTCCGTAATGGTGCAATCAACTTGAGATAATGGTCGTTTGGGAGCCTATATAAATGACTTTCAATATATTGGCAATAACGACTTGTTGCTTTCTTTCTTTTTCTTTTTTTCTTTTTCTTCGCTATTGCGCTCTCGATAGCGATAGGTTGAATATATTATTTTGTCGAACGCATTTAGTCCAATCAAAAAGCCATTTATTTATATATGATGAGTATGAGATGAATAAAAGCTAAGTGTAGTTCTTTTTTATTTGCAAGAATATACATTTGTGCCATATCTTTTATGCAATCAATAGGCCCAACGATGAATAATTTTGTCAATGTTACATACGTCGATATTATTAGTAAAAGTTTTGTGTGTGTGTGTGTGTAAAAGTGCATTTATTTATATTTAACCCATCTTTTTTCTTTTCTCAGGGCTGTGCAGAAAAAATTTTACTTGGTTTTAATGAGACATACAAGGAGCATAAGTGTTGAGGAATGCAATATTTTTTTTTTTTCTCAACTGTCTACCTTCGTTTCTCCGTGAATGGACTATTCGATAGCAAAAACTGGTACCTTTTTGTTTTTGGAAATTAATTTTATTAAAGGCATATAATATCTAGAAAAGCGTCTGTATTTTTTGCCATTATCCTATGTCCACTGGTCGACTAGCACTCATGTTTTGATAGTTATATAAAAATTATTCACTCTGATCCTTAAGATATTGAATATATGTATATTGAGAGTTAAACAGTTTTACTTTAATATACACAGAAGATATGGAAATCTTTGAAAGTCGTAAGCTCCTATTGCCTCCACTAAAATTTTCTTTTAGAGGAAGTAAATGCTCCATACACATTGCAGGGTGGCTGATGAGTCGCTCATGGAATAGATCAAAAGAAAAAAGTAATACATGATCGAGAAGTAGTTTGAAAAAATGTTAGTTCGTTTCTCAGACTTTTCAAAGGGATCTGAAGAAATTTGAAAACATTGAGTTAGAATTAGAATTTTTTATAAGTTATGAGATGACCTTTTTACAAGCCCGTAAATTAAGTTTCGACAAACTTCAGTGAACCTAAAATAGTGCCTAATAGAAGTGAAAATGATTTTATATGCAGCCAAAGAATACGCAAAGATTTCTTTATATAATAGTATAGTAACAATTAGTTTGCTATAAATCACTTGTCACTGATGAGTAACTTCTATGGAAAACAGACTTGAAAAATGAGCTCAACCATTCGTGAATGATTTTTCTGAAGTTCTTAATTCTTATGTTACTTTGTAGAGGACAATATCGTCTTCAATTCTATGCAAAACAATCAAACCTCTTTTGGTC